GATTGGTTCAAAATTGAGAAAGGAGTACGACAAGGCTATATATTGTCCCCTTATTTAACTTATATGCAGAATACATCATGCGGAAGGCTGGACTGGAGGAATCTAAGAGGAATCCCAAGCCGGAATCAAGAAATATCAACAACCTCCGATATGTAGATGATATCACTCTGATGGCAGAAAGTGAGGAGGAATTAAAGAACCTTGTAATGAGGGTGAACGAGGAGAGTGCAAAAAACGGTCTGAAACTCAACATCAAAAAAACTAAGATCATGGCCACTGGTCCCATCACCTCCTGGCAAATAGAAGGGGAAGATATGGAGGCAGTGACAGATTTTACTTTCTTGGGCTCCATGATCACTGCAGATGGAGACAGCAGCCACAAAATTAAAAGACGCCTGCTTCTATGGCAGCATAAACTGAAAGTGTCCACATCCATGCACCTAGGTCACAGATTACAAGATAAGACAAATCACTAGTTTTTCAGGGCCCCTTAAGACCTACAATTAGCCTCTAACTAGGACGTGGTGGATGGAGACAGCAGCCACGAAATTAAAAGACGCCTGCTTCTTGGGAGGAAAATGATGACAAACCTTGACAGCATCCTAAAAAGCAGAGACATCACCTTGCCAACAAAAGTCCGCATAGTCAAAGCTATGGTTTTCCCTGTAGTGACTTATGGAAGTGAGAGCTGGACCATAAAGAAAGCTGACTGCCAAAGAATTGATGCTTTTGAATTGTGGTGCTGGAGGAGGCTCTTTAGAGTCCCCTGAACTGCAAGGAGAACAAACCTATCAATTCTAAAGGAAATCAACCCTGAGTGCTCACTGGAAGGACAGATCCTGAAGCTGAGGCTCCAATACTTTGGCCATCTCATGAGAAGAGAAGACTCCTTGGAAAAGACCCTGATGTTGGGAAAGAGTGAGGGCAAGAGAAGGGGACGACAGAGGATGAGATGGTTGGACAATGTCATCGAAGCTACCAGAATGAATTTGACACAACTCTGGGAGGCAGTGGAAGATAGGAGAGCCTGGCGTGCTCTGGTCCATGGGGGTCACGAAGAGGTGGACACGACTAAACGACGACGACAGGTGGGCTAACAGTTTTTCCTTTGCATGTTAAAAGACATGGAGGACCCAATGATGCAGTGGGTGCATGTGAAGTTAGGCCACCAGGGTGACTGCTGAAGTGGAGGCAAAAAGGCCTAGGTCCCTAGAAGCACCTGCACCTGCCTTGCTGTGGCTGATTTGGTAGATAAAAGGCTGTGAATATATACCAAATATAATAAAAGGCTGTGAATATATACCAAAATTCTTCCGAGTGACCTTGAGTATAGCTGAGCACCAATAAAGTCTATCATAGGTGATGGCATGAGGTGAGCTTTTATAAGACTGATTCTGAGAACTAGCTTGTGTAGTACAGATATGGCTGCTGAAAAACCTCCTTGAAGCAATGCATCACAGGGTGTGATGAACAACCATTATATAGGAGTAACACTATGATACCTTGAAGTCAGACATACACTGCAATGACAGCCTTACACTTGCTGAATATCCTTGGAGCAGTTTGGTAGGTACTGTTGCCATTTGTAAGACGGGCGGATGGAAATGTAAAAACAGACTTCCTGTAAGTTGATTGTGGAGTAACAAGGTTGGTACCAAGGTAGCCATGGGTATTGTCCATACCAATGTCAATGTCATGGCAGGTTTCAGAGTAGATGTAATAGTAACTGGGATGGACTGGAGTAGATGTTACATTAGAGAATCTGAAGCCAAGACCGCCTTGTCCCAAAATATTTTTTGAAGCCTGGCCTTCTGGATTTTTCTTCTTGAGAGGTGAAGTCTCTGTAATGTTTGCAAACCTATGTATTATGAATCTCCCCCAAACAAACCAGATACTTAGAGCGATCATTTGAGAGAATTATTTTGGTGAGACAGGAGATACATTTCTCAAATAGTTGCAGTGCCAATACAATACTACAAATTGGGTGCCCCCCAAAGGGGACAATATACAATAAACTATTTTTGTTAAGGCAAAAAAAGGGAGAAGAACTATGTATATAGAAAATACGTAAAGTGATCCATCAGTTTGTGGAAAGCACAGCAGGATGGAGAAGACTGCAGGTCCAAGATGCCTGAAGCTGACAGTAGATAGAAACTGAGCTCAACCAGGCAGAAAGGGTGGATCCTATTCTGTGAAGGGGTGGGTCCCCAGTCAAAACACCTCAGCACAGCTCCAGAATATTTCAAGATTGTCTGTGTGTGCACAGAGCAGTCCATTGGTGTGCACTCACAGACACCATGAAAGAGCAGATTATTTCGTTTTCTACAATTCCCCCCTCCCCAGTTTTTCTACTTAGGATTCTTAGACAGTGCTTCCACCTTAAACAAGCTAATCTATAATAAAAACATTCCTAATGTTTCTCAGTGCCAGTGTGCTATATTGGCTAAAACTAACACTTGGAAGTCCTGGGTTCATATCCTCATTTGGCCATTGTTGTTGAGTGGCAACTATGGCAAAGCACTCTTGGACCATCTTGCATATCTTAAAACATTATATTAGTGCTGTCACTAAAAGTTAAAAGTGACTTGACAGAACATATTTCCCTATAGTTGAACCTAGTTCATTTCCAATAAAAAGCCTATAATTACATAACTTTGACTTTCAAAGGAAAGATTCATACCATTCTTTGAAAATCCACTTTCCTCCCACTTTGCTATTTGTAATTACACTCCAGAGGTCTCACCTCCAGTGTAACAGGTAACCAAGTAAAATCCAATTCTAATTTACAGAGCAATGTTAAAAAACCCTTAAATATCTGCATATCTGAACTCCTTCCCAGTCCTTAAATTACAGAGTAATCTTTGATGCTATTCATCCTCCAATAATAGCATTCTGGAATCAACATGAGATTTATAGATAACGATAGGACAGCCTTTCCCAAACCTGTACCTTCCAGATGTTCCGGCTAAGTCCAATAATCCTCATCACGGGCCATGTTAGCTGGAACAAGGGGGCTGTGGTCCACAGTATCTGAAGGGCACTAATTTGGGAAAGGCTACTCTATGGTTTGTAGTCACAATTAAACTAATTTTTCTGATAGATTACAGTAAGATTTGCAGTAAAATGTTTATGTGAGCTGGGCACACTGATCTGGATTTAGACCCTGAACACCACAATAGATTTGCCTGGTACTTCCTTGACATAAGCAGCTTATCACAGAGGATGATACTTGAATGGCACAAAGGAGTACAATCCAGCAATATAAGTATCTGACACTTCTACCTTTTTTCCAAACAGATAAAGAAATTGTGTATTTATCAATGAATTTTTATTTTCTTGAGTGAACAAGAACATTTATATTGTGAAACACCTATTTATCTGGAAAGCAACCCTCTGACATTTCTTCTGGAGGAAGAGGGAGGGCTCCCACCAACTCCTAGATAGTGACCCCTCCATCAGTTGGTTGCATGAAAAGTATTAGCTCTCCGCTTTGAGATGGCCATGATCTGCACCAGCCAAAAACAAACAGAAGCGATCTCTTTCACCATTCTCATCAAAAGAGTAATGTCTATGCCACTTAAAGAAAACTAAACTCTTACAAATGAGAGCTAAGTTAAATCTGTGAAGTTGTCAGGCAGCTAAGGAAACATGCCACTCTCTTCTTGCTCAGTTCCCAGACAACTTCCCCAGTATAGAAAAAGGGGCCCATTTTTCATATCCTTGCAAGCTCCCCTCTTTCAGAGGATTTTTTTTAAAAAAAGTTGCAGACCTTAAAAAAAAGGTAGAGGAGGGAACTTTACAACAAAGACAAAGAAACCTACCTGAATCAAACATGAAGGATCCAAATCAGATTTGCAAGTGTGGGCAATCAGCTTTCCTGCAGGAGAAAGCCCAGCATAAAAGGGTAAACCTTTTTTTCTATGTTCCCGTAACATGCCAGGTGTTAACAAGTTGATCTGTTCTCTCCTTTTGCATGATGACAATCTATCATTAGGAGCCTCCAAAACAGAGATCTGAGCCATTTCACTCTTGTTTTGACAGGATGGCATGGAGATTTTCACTCGGGAAGAATGGATGGCAGCATTCTTCTCATCCCAAGTATTGCTTTCAGATTCTAGATCAATAGTAAAATTTCCTACTTTGAAGGACTTGGGCATCCTATTGTTGATGTGCTGTGACAAAATGGTCAGGATCTCACTGCGATCCTCCTCCCAGTTGCACTCTGAAACAATCTCAATTAGGTTCGTTCTTCCACCTGGAGTAGTATGATGTACATAAGAAGTGGATGGATCCTCAGCACTACATGAAAACCACCAGTTTTCCTCTAGGAAAAGAATGGAAATACGTTTCTGCTATACTGAAGCTTTATACCAACTGGGACACTGAACTTCAATATTTTCTTCACTGCTACCTTATATAAGAAACAGAAATACCAAATAGACTTCAAGCAATGTTTACTATTCATAAGGCAGCTTTGAGAAAGACCTTGGTTGAACATTCTAAGCATTCAAAATTCTTCACAGTTTCTAAACAATCATGTATCACCTAATACAACAATATCCAGTCAATCTATGTGCTTGAAGACTGGATCATGCTATCTATCTGTAATACTTGGTTTCAGAGTTAATATGTCTGTGCAGTACAAGATGTATCACCTTATAAGGCAAGAAAACTACTTTAGAAATTGTTCTTTTAGATTCCAAGAGCTGTTAAGACCTTTACATATATAAAGGCTATTTTCTTACTCCACGTAATGAGAATAATTTTTTTAAAAAGAAAATTGATCATCTGTCAAAAGTAGCAACTGATAAGTCCCACACTTTTCCCACTATTTCTTTTTAAAAGGGACAAAACTTTATTCTAATTACTGCAATTTAATGTTCTAAATTATCTTACGGTAGATCAAAAACTGGATTTATTTTTATCCATTAACACCGTAACACTTCTCAGCAAAATGGTATGCACCCATAAAATTATATAGAAATAAAGTTCAGAATGTAACTTATTGGGCGCTTAAAAATACATTATGTGTACTTCTTAAAAAAAAGCAGCTGCAAAAATAGTAATGAAGTTGTATTCCTCTGATACCTCAAGGAAATACACATAGGATGCTCCTAATTGCTATTTTCTCCCAATGTAATTTCAGATTCCAAATTAACAGAAAATGTTATGGGTGAGATTAATATCAATTCACTCACTATAATTAGACTGAACAGTTCAGCTGTTACTTTATGCATTACAAAAAGAAGGGGATGAACTTCAGGGAAGCTTTGTTTCAAAGCCAATTCCCTATAGCTTAAACAAGCTAAGCATTTAAGAGTGCTTGCATCAGCCCTTTGTCTGATGCCTCAATGAGAGTGTTTAAACAGAGACAAACCAAGTGTTAAGCAAGTGCTTCTCAAATACTCTGAACTTCAGCCCATTTTCTCCATTCACCAAAACATTACCATCCATGTGTTTGACATGTATCCAAAGAATGCCACTGAACAATAAGGTGCAAGGAATAAAGTGATCAAATTTCAAATGTTTCACACCAAACATTCAACCCAAGAACTGAGGAACAAGTTCAATATTTTGTTCCACCTTCAGGCTCTTTATCCTCTTCTGTTTTTGTTCTACTTTCAGGCTCTTTATCTTTTTCTGTTTTATCAGACTGAGGCTCAGAATCACATTCCTGCAAATAAGATTAAAAATAAAAAAAGAGGGGAGATAACTTTTCCAATAATGCATATCTAAAAACACAACACAAACTACAACACTCAAGAAGAAACATAACAGCAGTAAAATTGCTGATCATGTAAAGACTAACAGCAGGCACTAAATGAAAATCACATGCATTTTTTTTCTAGAAAAGTACTGCGATCAGCCCCAACCCAGGATTCTCACTTAAAAAAAAATTCCAGTAATTTGTTTGACACCAGAGATTAATCACACCAACTACCGTACAACTGCACTCATTTCACACGCTAGCAAGGTTATGCTCAAAATCCTAGATTAGTTCAGAATTGGGCAAGGAGTACAACAAGGCTGTATATTGTCTCCCTACTTATTTAATTTATATGCAGAATACATCATGGGAAAGGCCAGACTGGAGGAATACCAAACCAGAATTAAGATTGCCGGACGAAATATCAACAACCTCAGATATACAGATGATACCACTCTGATGGCAGAAAGTGAGGACGAATTAAAGAACCTCTTAATGAGGGTGAAAGAGCAGAGCGCCAAAAATGGTCTGAAGCTTAACATAAAAAAACTAAGATCAGGGCCACTGGTCCCATCACCTCCTGGCAAATTGAAGGGGAAGATATGGAGGCAGTGACAGATTTCACTTTCTTGGGCACCATGATCACTGCAGATGGTGACAGCAGCCACGAAATTAAAAGACGCCTGCTTCTTGGGAGGAAAGCAGTGACAAACCTAGACAGCTTCTTACAAAGCAGAGACATCACCTTGCCGAAAAAGATCTGTCTCATCAAAGCTATGGTTTTTCCAGTAGCGATGTATGAAAGTGAGAGCTGGACCATAAAGAAGGCTGACCGCCAAAGAATTGATGCTTTTGGAGTTGTGGTGCTGGAGGAGGCTCTTGAGAGTCCCCTGGACTGCAAAAAACAAACAAACAAACAAACAAAACCACCTATCCATTCTGAAGAAAATCAGCCCTGAGTGCTCACTGGGCTCAGACTCCAATACCTATGACAAGAGAAGACTCTCTGGAAAAGACCCTGATGTTGGGAAAGTCTGAAGGCAAGAGGAGAAGAGGACGACAGAGGACGAGATGGTTGGACAATGTCATCGAAGCTACCAACATGAATTTGACAAAACTCCGGGAGGCAGTGGACGGCAGGAGGGTCTGGCGTGCTCTGGTCCATGGGGTCATGAAGAGTCAAACACAATTTAACAACTAAACAACAACAAGATGAAATTTTAAAAGAAAATTGAAAATAGGAGCTCACCTTTTCAATTGACTTTTCATTATCTGAAAGGCATTTCTGGTGCTGATTTTTCTCCTGTGTCTTGCGATCATACATTCTAACACGAGCACACGTCATCATACTTTCAAAATACAAGTAAATAGGGTCCTTGTCTTCTTCTCGAATCTATAAACCAAGATAAATACCCTTCAAGATAGATAACATTCACTTTTCCCATCCTGCTTACTACTTCTTTGAACTGTGGCTGTCTGGCAGAAGATTCAGAACAATTAAGACTCAGACCACACATTTTCTGAATAGTTTTTAATCCCAGAGACGTAATTGCACTTAATAATGAATGTAAAGACCACCAGTAATGAACAGTTGGACAGTGTTTTTTAGCCTGCGGTGTAGATGTATTTTTAGTGGGGGATTTTTAGTGGGTGGGGATTGTTTGGGGATTTGTGTCTGTGCGTGCATGTGGGCATGTGGGTCTGGCCTCTGGGTGCCTGTGTGAATTTCGCTGTATGCTTATAACGATGTATAGACTTACAATGACAATAAATTTATAGTATTTCAAAAAAAAGTTAAATATTCACAGAAAATATGTAAATTTTCTTGCAAAATGCATAAAATACCTCACCCTCTTCTTTCATTAGGTGTGCAGCTCTCCTTGAATGCCAAGTTCACATTTGAGAAAGCCTACAACAAAAATGGAGAACTGTGGTCCTCCAACAGTCTAAGATTCTAGGAGATGTAACACTACATAGGCTGAAGAATTAAGCTGAAGTGGGCAAACTGCATCCCCGATCGGATTTTAGGTGCCTCCAAGACAGACAGGTCACTTATCTGTAACTGTGATTCTTCAAGTGGTCATCCATGAAGTCACACATATGGGTAGTTTAACACACATGTGAAGCCTCAGAATGTTCTAGAGCTTAAAAACAGAGCACAGTTAGTCACCTCCCCTTCCCAATATGCATGTATTGGTGCAAAAAAACACCAACCCTCTCAGTTCCCCTAGGCCACTCCTGAGAAACTGAATCAATAGCCCAAGAGGAAGAAGATGAGTTGGGTGACTTCACAGATGACCATTCAAAGAACAATGGTTACAAGTAAGTAACTCATCTTTCTTCTTCGTGGTCTCCATGAATCACACATATGGGTGAGTAGCACCGTCACTTACAAGCTGATGGAATGTCATGTGAGGAGAACAGAACAGCTCTGCCAAAAGCTGAAGTTCACTTGTCACAGACATCTAGTCTGTAGTGCTTCGCAAATGTTGAAGGCTGAGACACAGCCGATCTACAGATGTCAAGTAATGGCACTCCTCTAAGGAAGGCAGTGGAAGATGCCAGTGCTCTGGTCAAGTGAGCCTTGACAGGCAATGGTATACGAATCAGTTGATAAGCCAGAGAACATGCAGAAATAAACCTGTGGGAGAAACACTAGGCAGAGATTGATGTACCCTTAGAAGAGACTGTAAAGAGATGAAAAGTCTTTGCGTTTTACAAAGGTCACATGTCTGAGATGTATAAAATGCCGGAGTTGTTCTAATGTACAAGATGTGAAGACACTTCTCTACTTCAGATGTTTGAGATGGAAAGAAGTTTGGTAGAATAATAGTCTGATTTAAATGGAACTGTGTCACCACCTTGGGTAGGAAGAGAAATACAGTGGTGCCCCGCATAGTGAGGTTAATCCGTTCCGGATTAACCCTCGCTATGTGAAATCGTCGCTAAACGGAATGCAAAAGCCCATTTAATGCGTTCCAATGGGCCTTAAACTTACCGTTCAGCAAAGTTTCCTCCATAGCGGCAGCCATTTCCACGCCCTCAGTAAGCGAGGGGAGGGCGTGAAAACGCTGCGCGCGGCCATTTCGGGCGTCCGGCGGCCTGAACAGCTGATCGCTTGGGCAGATGAACATGTGACCAAGACATCTGAAGCAGAGGGGCAAACCAAGCCTGTCTTGGCCACCACAGTGTAATAAGGATGGCTCTGGCCTTCTCCTGTTGTAATTTTTGTATATTTGTGGGGGAGGAGAAAACAGATCATTAAAAGGGGGACTGAAAATAAAACAGCCAACATTATAATGCCATTGTACACTTCTGGTTGCCACACCTCAAAAGAGACATAGTGGAACTGGAAAAGGTGAAGAAGAGAATGACTGAAATGATTACTGGGCTGGGCCACCTTCCTTATGAAGAAAGGCTACAGTGTTTGGTGCTCTTTAGTCAGAGCAAGGGTCTCGACATTTTTCACACAGAGGGCCACATGATATATTTTGAGGTCCAAAGGAACATGGGCACGTGGGCACTCCCTCCTGCCTGTACTCCCGCCACACTCCCCCCTGTCCGTGGACACACACGCACAGGCCAGATAAAAAGGCCAGGCGGGCTGGATTTGGCCCATGGGCCGTACTTTGGAGACCCCTGGTCTAGAAAAAAGGTGGTTGACAGAGGACATGATTGAGACGTATAAAATTATGGCTTTGGTTTGCTTGAAAAGTTTTGCAGCCACAGAACCCTCCAGCTGCTTTGACACAACTGCAGAAAGATAAACCTTGAGTAATACCTGTGTCTTCAGATAAAGCAGGAAGCAAAGAAACGTATGGAGGGAGGGGTTAAGCAACAGTTACCTTGCCACAGGATGTGATGATGGCATCTGGCCTAGATGCCTTTAAAAGGGGATTGGACAGATTTCTGAATGAAGAGTCCACTGCAGGCTACAAGCCATGATGGGGAAGCATAATCTCCAGGCTTAAAAGGAATGTACTTCAAAATGCCAGATGCAGAGGAGAGGTATCAGGAGACAGGTATCTAGTTGTCTGGTATGGTCCCAGAGGCATTTAGTGGGGCCACTGTGAGATACAGGAAGCTGGACTAGATGGGCCCTTGGCCTAATCCAGCCAAGGCTCTTCTTATGTTCAGATACAGGAAACAATGCCTCCAGTGGTACATGAAAGCATCTCCCTTTGAACTGTGACCACCACCTGCCCTGGATCAGAATCAGTTACTTGAAGTTCTGATAGTTGGCAAAGGGGTTTACTTGAAGTGTTCCCCATCGATAACAGAAGGAATGAAAAGTGTTCTGGTCTTACTTACTTACTTACTTACTTACTTACTTACTTACTTACTTACTTACTTACTTACTTACTTACTTACTTACTTACTTACTTACTTACTTACTTACTTACTTACTTACTTACTTACTTACTTACTTACTCACTCACTCACTCACTCACTCACTCTATTTATACCCCGCCTATCTGGTCGAAATGACCACTCTAGGCGGCTGCAGTTCCCACTTATGGGACTGCAAAGACCTCCTGCTATGGTTGTTTGTCAAACTATCCTCTTGTCTTGTTAGATGGGAAACACATGTTGCTCCCAAAAGTGCACTGTTAGAAGAAGAAGCTGCAGGGAGTGTGTTCCTCCTTTTTTTGTTTATACGGTATGTAGTGGTTGTATTTGACCAAACTCCAGGAGGCAGTGGAAGACAGGAGGGCCTGGTGTGCTCTGGTCCATGGGTCACGAATAGTAGGACATGACTTAACGACTAAACAACAACAACAAGTGGTTGTATTGTCCATGACCACCTATACTACACTGCCTGCAAGAAGAGGCTGGAAGGCCCTGAATGCTTTTGAACACTGCTTAGTAGTTCTAACTCGTTTAAATGAAGGGCAGATTCCTGAGGTGTCCAAGTGCCATTTATTTGATGACTGAGGCAGCATGCTCCCCAGCCATGAGTACTCACATCAGTTCCAACTTGAACAATTGGTGTGAGGGGGCAAAAGGGTTCTGCCCAGCGTAGGATTGTCAGAGTTAGACCACTGGCAGAGCTGGAAGCTGAGTTCCAGTGTATAAGAAGTGGCTCCTGGTGGTGTCCCAGAACGGGTCAAAGAAAGTCAAGAACCAAGCCAGGAGAGAGTGCATTCTGAGTGTCACATGAGAGAGAACAGAAGTAGTGGAGGCCATGAGGCCTAACAGTCTTTGGGCAAGGTGAGCAGAGATAAAGAGTCCTAGGAGTAAAACCGTTTACTAGAAGAATAATGCTAAAACAGCAATCTGGAAAGGTGTATACCTGAGCTCTGTTGGAATTCAAAAATGCTCCTATATAATAAATGACACAACAAGGTCTGATAATAGACTTGTTGAGGCTGACTCGCAGGTCCAGGTCCTCCAACAGGCTAAGAGTAAACTGAACACGTTGAGGGTTTGGGATTTCGACTTTGCTACCACCAACCAGTCATCTATACATGGGAAGATCATTATTTCCTGTGTTTATAAATATGCTGCCACGGGAGCCAGCCATTTTGTGAAGATCTTTGAGACTATCGATAGGCCAAAGGGCAGGGCCTTGAATTTGTAGATCATTGAGCCCATTGCAAAACAAAGAATGCAGCATTGGTTGGGCCTGACAGAAATGTGGAAATACACATCCTGTAGGTTGATAACTGCGAACCAATCTCCTCGACATAAGAGTGGGATGACAGTTTCTAAAGTTACCATCCAGAACTTTTTGGTAGTAATGTATCTTTTTACCCCACAAAGGTAGAGATTTGGCATGAAGCCACTGTTCTTCTGCAGGACTGTGAAATATCAAGAGCAATGGCTGTCCAAAACGAAGGAGGGGAAGACCTCTTGGGAAAGGATGTAAGCTGTAAGTAGGTATGGGTACAACAAAAATTTCCAATTGCGGGGGTAAAATGGAACTTGATAGCGTATCCCACTGAATGATAGATACCGTGTTTCCCTGAAAATAAATAAAATAAAACTGGGTCTTATATTAATTTTTGCTCCAAAAACACATTAGGGCTTATTTTCAGGGGATGTTTTATTTTTTTCACGTACATTCTGGGAAATTTATTCAAATGCAGTCACGTCATCTGCTTCTGGTTTCTGCACAATTGTGGAGGGCAGGGTTTCACTTAACTGGGGCTTATTTTTAGGGTAGGGCTTATATTGGTGGTCAGCCTCAACACTCCTGTCAGTGCAAGGGGTGAAGGAGACCAAAGGAGACTGGTTTCAAGTGCAGTTGGCCCTCATCAAATCCAAGGAAAGGCAAGATCGAGGGCTGAAGTAACGGACCTGCTTCTGGGGAGGCGGTGAAGCTGAAGGCGGGCGGCAATGCTTGCGGCGATGCCTCGGAACCATGGGGGTCTTGAACCAGGTTGCTCAGAGCCAAGTGTGGAAACAGCTCACTGGGGCCACACTGGACATAAAGGCCAACAGGGGCAAGCAGAGACTGCTGATGGAGTGAGGCCTCTCCAAAACCTCAGGGACTGGCTGGAAGCAGTTACAGTCATTGCCAAGGAATTTGAAGCCTGCGAGTCCAGGGGCAGCTGTATCTAGCCTGAGAATGACAACTGTAGTAGTGGAGCCTTCGCCAGAATTGAAGGCTACAGAGGAGCTGGAGCATGGAAATACTGCATCAGGGAAAAAGTGCCCCGCCCCCCCGTGAACTGGAGGGTAGCTCAGTGTGGAAGGACGGAGGGTACCGTGTGGGATAGAACTGAGTTGATTGGTTCCTGAAGGGCTGCAAGGAAACAGCCCGAGAAATGGGTGGCTGTTGGTGCATTGTTGAGTCCACTGAAGTGTCTGGTACTGACAAAATCTGTGGGAAGGCAGGGGCTTCAGCTGGAACAGAGATTGTTACTTAAGAAGTCAGAAACAAAGACTGCCTGTGGAAGAACAGAAGCCAAAGCCAGTGGTGCTTGCGGCATGGCTAGTCAGTAGCCTGGCCCTCGACAGAGAAATGTGATGGTTCTGATGCTTGTGGGAAACTCTTTTGGATTCCAATCCTGCACAGTGGGAGCAGGAGATTGGGAGTGAAGAGATTCAAGCAATGAAGAATGAGATCTCTGATGAAGGGAGAAATCGGCCAGGGGTTCTGGAAGAGACTTGGTATAATCTGAGCAAACACTGGGGGCAGGCAAAGGAAGAGAGATTTGTGGAACCGAGGGCAGGAGGCCCAGACATACGATGTCCACAGGGCCACTCTCCAGATGGTGGGGAGGAGTTGGCTCCAGCACGGGGTGGATTGGAGGAGAGGCAAGTTGTGGAGGTTGAGACTTGTCAGGCTTGTGCTTGTCAGTCTTTTTATACTTAAGCTTCTTTGATGTTTTGGAGGCAACTTTCTTCCTTTTTGTAACAGTAAGGTCTGGTACAAACTTGGGCATTGGAGCGGAGGTTGAAGCTAAGGGCTGACCACTGGCAGACTGATCACTGTGTGGTTTAGTTGGATCTGAAGACTCTTTCCAGGGTTTTTTTCAGGTCCAAGATTGAGAGGCAAATCCCAACCTCGAGAGGACAGAAGCTCTGCAGAAGTTATGCAAGTGGATGGATCTATAGAAGAGGAAGGAGGTCTAAGAGCTTTTCCCCACAAAAAGGTGTTAGCCAGAATTGTCTAGCTTTTACTGCTGAACTGTTGCGACAATGAATGCAAGACTGAGTCTTGTGCAGTCTCCCAGACAGCACTTGGGAGTGGCTGTCTGATAATGGGATTTTATTCCCAAAGCAACTGCACCACTTAAAGAGGCCTCTAGGGCCCATAAAATAAACGAGAATGGAGAGAAGCTGTAGAAAGGAGAGGGGAAAGGTGGGAAATGAAAATGTGATAAAAACTGCCTATCCCGAAGAAAAAGAAAAATTAACAATGAACTAACCTTGTATTTTGCAGGTATCTTTCTCAGGAAAGAAAGAGATGAAGAAAGGTAACCAAAAGCTTTGTTCCAGAAGCATCCCTATAAGCTCACACAGTGGCACCAAAAAAGGAACTGAGGGGGTTAGGTTCCTTCACGCCAATACAGTGGTGCCTCACACAACGATGAATTCACACAACGATGCCTTTTTCTGTTAAATTTGCTGCCTCACACAGCGATGTTTCCTATGGGGATTTTCACTGAACGATGGCAATCCGTTCCAACTGGAACGGATTAACCGGTTTTCAATGCATTCCTATGAGAAATGGTGTTTCACAGAACGATGTTTCACACAACGTTGATTTTTTTGGAACCAATTAACATCGTTGTGTGAGGCACTCGTTGTGCGAGGCACCACTGTACATGCACTCTGAGAGGGGAAGGCAACTAATGTTTCTGTTTGTAAGTTCTAGAACTTTCCAAGGCTTCACACATGCATGCTGCATAACCCATATGTGTGATTCACTGAGACCATGAAGAAGAACCTTCAATCCACTACTTCTGAAAAATATTTTAGGATAATGCCAAATTCTGCTCCAGGGGGAAAAATTCCTTATGCCTTCTTTTGCCCACTCCCTCCAAAATATGGGACAAGTCTAACTAGATTTCTAGATACCTCTGGCATTAGCAAGGCGGGGCACAATCTTTCAAAGTCTCCTGGGAACTGAAAAATGGCCTCCAGGCATCTCAACCTTGCCTGAACCTGATGACAGTTCCGTATTTCCAGGCTATCCAAGTCCATAATGTAAATCTCACATGAATACAAGTGGGAAAGTGAGTAGCGATCCATAAGTAACAACACACACTCCAAGATGTGTACCTGTGTGACAAAACTAATGTATGGGCCATATGTGCTCATAAAAGATCCAAAATTAGTATGTGTCAAGATGCTGGGCAGGAAAAGCCCTGAATCAAGGCTTAAATCTATTACCTAGTCCAAACTAAAGCAGACACTTTGAATGACTGTTGGATCAACACTTAGATAAGTCTCACTTATTCAATGGACTAGTTTTAGCTGGAACTGACAATGAAAGAGAAAGAACAAGAGAGCAAAATTGAAGAAAATTATTTTTAAAAATTGTGAGTTTGTTAGGTGTGCTTTGGAGGTCAGAACTGAGAGGGATAGCAAGAACCATACCCTTTGAGTATTTAGTTGGACAAGGGGCTGGCAAATCAAAAATTCTACAGGTACAGGATGCACATAGAAGAGTACAAAGAGACCACAACAAACTGAGGAAAGAAAAGTTTTCTGTTTGAGAGGCCCAGACCCCAATTCGAACTTACAGTTAAGCTTTAAGGCAAGTTAATGTAGCTATCTACTAAGCTACAGTACCTACCAGATTTATACCTAACTGTTTTGTTAAAAATGAGACCCCAAACAGCTGATAATAAAATCAATAGCAGCTTGTCTTTCATCTACATAATCTTCTGTGAAACAGAAATTCTGCTACAATAGTAATGAAAACTCAGACTGAACACCAAGTCAGAATGAACACTAAGGCAACCAATTTGTGAGCGGCTACACCACACTACATTACAGTGGACCCTTGACTTACAGACGGCTTGACTTACCGACTTTTTGAGTTACAGACTTCTCTGGCTGCAAAATTTAGGTTTGACTTGCAGACTGAGATTTGACTTACAGACCAGAAAAAAACCAAAATGGAACAAAAACGGCCTGTTACGGGATTAATCGGTTTTCAATGCACTGTAGGTCAATGGAGACTTGATTTACATACTTTTTGACTTGAGAACCGCCTTCCAATATGGATTAAGTTCTCAAGTCAAGACCCCACTGTAGTCATTTTGTGAAATATTCTCAAATGTCAACGTTTGCCCACTCTCACTTAAGGTCTGTGTTTTAAAGGAATTTCACAGTTTAGGTATTCATCTACCAAGTTAAATACCTGGCCAAAGTTCTGCTGTTTAAACCTGTCATTCATTAAGTCTTTTGCATAACTGTTTGAGAAATATGTGAAAAAATATATTTAATCCAAGAACTGACAAGAACTACACAGAGGCCAAAGTCCTCTTGCTTAAACTACATTAGAGTAGGCACACAGAATCACTGGAGATTTGATGAGTCAAGCACTCATAAGTTTCATTGATTAAAATCTAACTGTGACTTATTTTAGCACAATAAGCTGCAGTTACAGTAGGCCCATTTGAAGCAATGGAACTTAAGGAAGTGTCGATGCACGAAATCTCCAGTTATTTAGTGGGAGTATTCTAGTAAACAACTCTAGTAAGCAACAGGATTTTGGCATTTGTGTAGTTTACTGATGAATTTTACTTAATTCATTTATGCACTTATCAGTTCTTTGATGAAATGTAATTTTCACATAAGTCTCAAACTATTATACAAAAGACTTAATAACAATATGAAATGATTAATAATTTTGCATTTTTATTTTCATTTACTTATTTCCAGGTAGGTTTACAGAGCTATCAGAGTATACCGATCATGAAAAAGTAATTGCTCATTTAAAATACAGTCCTGTAATACAAACTGGTAGGAATCAAAAACTTCTGTTGAACTGTATTTCAGCAACTCCAAATGGCTGGGAGATTGCAACTTTCCTCACTTCTTGCCACAAAACCAACTGAGATGGATGATGGGATTTACAGTCCATAAACATCCAACTATCCACCCCTACTTTAAGTGTTCTCAATATTTAAGTGTTGGTCAATATTTCTTTAAGATGAAATGGGGAATGGTGTAAATGTGACTTTGTGAAATGTGGCGAAAAGCAGGTGGTCAACAGTTAAATTACATAATAAATAAGATGATAGATTACTATGTTAAGCCTTGTATTTATTACTTGTAACACGATTGTCATGAATTAATTTTTTTAAAAAAGGGTTTTCTACTTTATTTTTGAATAATCCTTTTCCATGTAAATTCAAAAAAGGAAACATCACCAAGAGACACTTTACAACTTAAAATAAAAGCTTCCTTTTATGCAAGTTTCTTTTACTAAAAAGAGGAGCAAGTAAAGGACTCAGAGGCTTGCTTTTCTTTCTTTTTTGACATCCCTGATATGTTGGTTCTCCAATAAAGCTACTATTGTTATTATTGTTATTATTATTAAAGCTACTTACCGTAATTCTGTTTTTTAAAAAATCTTAAAGTCTTATCTTCTTTACTTACCACTGGAGTGGTTCTAGGGGTATGCACTCGCGGTGATTTGACACCATTTGTCAATAGCCTGATGTCACTGTCTGCAGGCTTGTTATCACATAAGACCTCCAGTATTGGTGGCACTGTAGGTTTTGTTGGTTCTGAAGTTGATGGTGTTGGGATGTAAACAGGTTCTGGGTCCATCTCACCATCTTCTTTTACCCACAATGGAAAATTCTTAACAGGTTTCTCTGGCTCTGTATCACAGACAGCTAGAAAGATTTAAGAGTGTTGTTTTTCTCTGAAGCAGGTCTATTGTAACACAAATTACAAGGACACTCATATAGGTATAAACTGACCCTAAGACAAATAATTTTACTGGAAAAAGATGGTTAGCAAATAAAAAAAAATCAGATCGATTTGGAAGTTCTTTGCGGTGGGAAACAAACTCCCAGTCCCATGACTCATAAGAAACCACCCCAAGGTTCTCCCATTATAACTGAGCCTCTATGGCTGTGGCCTTCAGTAACACCAAACCATTCTAAAGTGATTACTTTCCCTTTGAACTTTCATTTAACAAATGCTCTTTTTAAAAAAATAGATTTCAAATAAATCTGAAGCCAAATTTTAAGTGTGAAAGTATCTCACATAATTGGATTGAACTTCCTTTACATATAAACTAACCTGGTTTATTTTAGTTGAACTAAAACCCATCTAAATTGTTACTTTAAACTTTCATAACTAGAATTCACATGAGTATTTTATTTAGGAATTCTCTTATACGTTAGTTCTTAATTCAGGTATGTATCAGAATAAACACCTCTTCCAATGGAATATAATTATTCAAATGTTTACTATGATAATGACTGATGAATACTTACTGTATTCCATCTTTTTCTTCTTCTTCTTCTTATCTTTAATTTTCAGATCATCTTGTTCCTTCGCTTTTTCCAGTATCTCTTCCTGTTTTTCCAATTTTTCCCCACAATGCAACTTATGTTTTCCATGCTGAGGCTTCTTTAGCATTTTCTTGTGCTTGGAATCTCCTTTAATTAATACCACCTTTCTCTTTAGGCAAGTGCAGCCAAACATACAATCTGTTTTGCGACAATGTGTAGGCTGATGCTTTTCAAGGGCTAAACTAGAACAGACACATCCAAGCCGACAGAAATCATTGTTGCATGGTGGTGTTCGCCATTTGATTATTTTATGGATCGGTTTGTTTTTCAGTGAAGCCTGGAAAAATATATATTCAGATAAATATATGCAGCTGCAACTGCTGCTTCTGGAGTAACATCATTTTTACATGATTTCTGCAAAGTAGAAATTTGCTCAGCAACTTGTTTAGAATCCAGAAATTCTAGCTTTTATTTACCTGAGGCAACAAAATACTGGAGAGGTAAAAACACACTGGAGAGGGTAAAATACACTGTTGTTTTAATGGTTGCCACCTCTGCTACAAAAAGCATCAGCAATTTTCCTATATAACACATTTATAATCTGGTCTAGCTGGCAGAAAAAAATGATCCCTTCCACCTCATCCATGATTCTTTCCTTGTGTCATTCCTTATTTACTGAGAAGAATAAACCTTGCCAATTTAAGGGCTGGACAACCTATTAGACCTAAAAGATCTATTTGTAGGCCCTTATCCTAAATCAGAAGACTCCTTGGAGAAGATTCCTTGGAAAAGACCTTGATGTTAGGAAAGTGTGAAGGCAAGAGGAGAAGGGGACGACAGAGGATGAGATGGTTGGACAATGTCATCGAAGCTACCAGAATGAATTTGACACAACTCCAGGAGGCAGTGGAAGATAGGAGGGCCTGGCGTGCTCTGGTCCATGGGGTCACGAAGAGTTGGACACGACTAAACAACGACGATCCTAAATCAGAACTTCAAATGTGGGCATATGTTGATCAAATATGGTTTCTCAAATGCAACTATAACAGCTTATTTATCTAGTTTCAAATTATATTGTTAAAGCTCAAATCATGCACCTTTATTACTTTACTATGCAAACCAAAGAAGGTAGCAAAGGTTTACCCTGTATGACTTATAATACCACATATAAAAGGCATTTGAGGCACAAAATCAGTAAGGGAAGAAGACTTTGGTTTTTCAGTCAATTGATGGTTCCTGATTTGACTTAGAAAAACAGGCCTTTAAGACTTCACTCCTCAAATATTAGAGAGCTTAACATTAAATTGATATATCATTATTATTTGTACCACAGTATTTACCCCTCTTAAAAATTTCCACACACACACACACAGACACACACAGAGAGAGAGAGAGAGAGAGAGAGAGAGAGGATACAAAGTGAAGGGTTCTCCAAACTTTTCAGTATAAGGGCGACATCATATATTTTACACATTTTCGAGGACCGAAGGAGGGAAGGAGGACCCAAATCATCTTTGCTAAAACAGCAGGGGTGGGAGATCTCCCCTGCGGCTCTCTTTTATAAGTTTTGTGATTTGTACTTTGTACCCTCCTTCCAGACATTTCTATGGAACAATATGTTCCATGAATTCCCTCCTTTTCACTAAATATCTGTTTTTATAAAGATCAATTATTTCCCAATTTATTTCTTATATTCTTATTCAGCAATTTATTATTTCATTATATATTTAAGTCACAGAATGATTTTAAATCATCTCACTTTAAATTGTTTCATTTTATTTTTATCAATAAAGAAATGAAAAAAACCAATTTTTGTTCTGCTGTAGCAGATAATACAGCTACTGCTCTACTACTGAACATTTGCTTATTTAGGATCAAAATTATAGAGATAATGGATCCAAGATGAACATGAGTGCTATGTTACTGCGTATTAAAATATAAGAGCTCAGTTGAAAAGGAAACAAAATGTTTTTATTATTACTATTACTATTACTATTAGGATGATGATGATGATGATGTTTTCATAGGAAATATGTTAAAGAGATAATTAATAAAAAACCTGGAAAAAAACTTTTGTTTTGCTGTAGCAGATTAATATAACTATTTCTACAGTGTAAAATAATAGAACAGCAAAAAAAAAAGGGGGGGTTTCCAGAGGATTCTTACTTTCATAATGGATAGAAGGTAACCAAGTCTTGATAAATTTATCTAATGACTCTAAAAGCCTTTGAGCACTCTTACTCTGTGAGTCAATTTTTCTGAAAGAGACATTGATCAATTTGAATCAAGTCAATTCAAATGCTAAGGTTATCCACATTTTTCCAGCACCACACATTCTAACCTGATCATGGCTAGCAAGGAGAACACATACTTATGGAGAACTGAGGATTTGGCCCTTGCAAAGTTTAGGAAAAGAAAAAAAATCCCTTTTTTGTAAATTCTGCCTTGTAATTCTGTTAATTGTTTCTAGAACATCAGTTCGAAATCTGGAGGCTTCTGAGTATTCAAGCCATACATGACAAAGAACTGCTCTGTCCCTGCTAGTACTCAAACCATTTGGGGAAAATGACAGAAAAAAATGTGGCATGGGCGTTGGAATTAGGTGCTGCCACCTCTAAGTCACCTTGTACGTATATATTTCCTGCATAATTGCTGAGTTTGTTTTAAAAGGAAAATATTTCCAGATTTTGTCCCAGTGGCTTCTTACGATCAGTTGGCTTCCCATGCCAGTCTGGAACCTGATGTTTCAAAATACAATACTAAATAATCATGCATAAATATTTGAAATCAGGCCCTTAGTAGTACTATATGGTGATATGGAGAGTTACTCAAATGTCAGTAAGAAACAAGGTATTTATTTATTGCAAATTAGATAGCAAATTTTGTTATTTAAATTGCCTGAAGCCTGAGGGAGATTTCGTAATACAGTATACATCTCTCCTTTGAATTTCATGGGTTTAAGCAGGAGAGTTTTAGAAATCCATGATTTTTTTAAAAAAACAAATAAATAAATATTTGATTAAAAATACTGAATAACTAGTGTGGTACTATTATAGTAAATACTGTGGTACAAAGAACAATTCATCTCCAGGAAGTAGCCTGAGAAAGGTGGGGTCTTGAACATACTAAGGCCTCTGCTGTTGGCGATGCAGCAGCAGTCTCCTCTCCTAGCACGGTATTCCATGGGGCAGCCAGGAAGGGTGCTGGGATACGCCAGGAGGCTGACACAAATTGGGGGAGGTCACAGTAGCATGGTCTTCCACTGGACGGAGCAGAAGAGATCATGCCTCCATTTTCTCCCTCTGACAGAGGCTTAAGTTACATTTTGAACTACTCTAACAACAGCATTGTTGAAGGGAGACATGTACAGCTGTTAATGGTTAAACTGGAATGTGGACAGTCTAAACAGAATACACTTTGGCACTGTGAAGGGAAAGACCAAGGACAAGAGGTCTTTCTGGGAGTGCCGTCTCTCCATAAGACATGTAGAGACTACTCCACCTCCTACCCCACCCAGAAAGAAAGACCAGGGTGTAGATACCTGGGATTTGGAAAAAAGAACAAGAGGGAAAAGAATATATCTCGTGCGGTGGACACCCGGGATCTAGAGAGAGAGATGAAAGGGTTAAGCATGGCCATCCCGACAGGGTCTGAGATGGCGGGAAAAGAGAAGGGGCAGGCTCTGGTGGAAGTGGGGACGGAGGATATAAATACCACACGAGACAATATCCCGGGGGGTGGGAGACTGTGCGGATGCAGGATCCCTGGACAGGGAAGTGGGAGCAGGTTCGGGTACCCAAGGCTGAAGCTGAGAGCCAGAGAAGGAAAGGGTTACCTCAAAGACCTTTGTGCTGGGGTGAGTCGGAAACCCGGGAATGGAGGAGGCAGCTTAGAGAAGAAAATGAAGCCATTGCCAGGGAGAACGAAGCACGTCGGGCATGGCATCTGGAGGAGTTGCGGAAGAAGGGGTGTTTTCTGGACCTTGGGGCAACTCAGAGGGAGAGGGATCCCCATTATGGGGATGGGCAGGGGATGAAGAAACCTTCCTGCTTCTGAGCCAAACGGAGCCAGAACCCAAAATCGTAGACCCCGGGCGAGTGATTGCTGGACCATGGAACTTAAAACCAGTTAACCCCTTTGAAGTGAATTTATGGTCGCCCTTGTGAGAGCTGTTGCTCGAACAAGAGATTCCCCCAAGTGAACCTGTTAATGTTGAAGACCTGTTATTTGAGTTAATAAATAATACAAATCCATTTGAGAAAACTGAGTCTCGTGGTTTATTGAAAGAGAAGGACGCTCGCATACATGAACCTCCACAGGCACAAATCAGATTTTTGTTAATTAAGAACAACATCCATAACTCAAGTTTCAGCTTTTCTTAAAAGGCAGAAAATAGAAGGAGAAACAAGAAAATCTTAACTAACATCCAGACATTAACAGTGAAGGGGTAGGCCCATCATGAGAATGTCTGTTTGATCTACCAACCTATACATTTAAAAATATGGTAGAGTGCAGAGGAAACCCACAATTATACTGGTCAGGAAAAACTGTATTAAATCACTTGGTCCATAAAATTCTGGTCTTCAATCACTAAAACCTCTGATGTTATTAATCAGCAGTTTGAACCATGCTGAGATAAAACTGGAAGACAATTTAGTTCAAAGAACAATAGAGGTAAGTGTGTTCAGTACTGGGCTTCTGAAAGAAGCATGGCAGTAGCCTTCTATAGCAAGTGCAGTTTCCAAACATCCAAAAAAGGCAGATGCATAGAGAGTGATGCAATAACCTAACTTGGACATTACCATGGCATCATGACAGTAGTCATATCAGCCTTCCCAGCATGGACTACAGCTGATGCATAAGAATTAAAAATTTTTAGCAGCCTAAGGACTTCTTCTACCCACGTATACAGATATTGCTCCAGGTTCCGCCACCAAATGTGGTGGTGTGGATGGTTACACAACCCTGCCTTGCATTGTCCCCTATAATCCCTTTTGTGCCAAGAAAAGACCGCTTCATTTCTCCACCTTTTAGATTTACCAAACACAACATGTAGCTGTTTACGGCAATTGTTTGTTGACTCAAACACCTTTACTCAGGGCACTTTTCCTTTTAACCCCCAACCCTAATCTACTTGCTACTTTTCCAACAAAAACTTTACAAAATCTGAGAAATATGCAGAAGAAATAGCATCACTTAAGCAACTTACTTGAGCAGTGAGCAAAGCTGCCAGTGATAGATCTGCCCGTTCTTCAGTAATGTAGGTTCGTGGCTTACCACTCCACAGTGCATAATCCTCCACATTCATCAGCTTCAACTGAGTTTTAGATAAACATGGTAATCGACTACTCTGCTGCAGAGGCTGTTGTGATTGACGTACAGCAGTATGTTTTCCAGGCAGGTTTTCTTCTGTGCCTGGAACCATGGAAGTGCCTACATCATTAGATCCTTGACTACCTGTCTGAACCTTAGTAACTTTCTCTTCTAGCACTGATAATGTCCGTTTCTGTTTTGATACAACAGGTAAAGTTATTACAGGCTTCGAGAACAACTTTTCCTTGCCTTTAGATATGGTTTGTTTTTTATTTTTCACTCTCTCTCTTTTCTTTTTGGAGTCCGAAGGCATAGAAAGAGGCTTGAAACCATAACAGCCAGAAGCAGTAATGGTGGACTGCTTTTTGAGAACACTGTCTAAAGTCCGTACGTAGCTGGTGCTTTTGGTTGGAAGTTGATAAACCACAGGACAACTGGATGTGCTAGGAGACAATCCCATACTTGTTTCTAACAGCTTTCCCTCATTTTCTAAATATTCATCAAGCTTGTCACTGCAGAAAGCAGATCGATTCTTCAAGGAGCCTTCCAGAATGATACCTGAGTAATGCACAAACCAATTTAAGTTAATGAGAACTGCCAACTCCACTATAACAAGTTCGTAGAAATTTCTCTCAAGGTTTCAAGAACATCTGTTAAGAACTACAAAAATATTTATTTATTTATTTATTTTATTCAATTTATATGCCACCCACACTACCCAGAGGTCTCTGGGCGGCTTACAATAATTAAAATTCAATACAGTAAAAGATAAAATAATTAAAATACAATTAAAATACAATTAAAATTGCCATCAGTCCCACAGCTAATATTATTTCAATTAAAAGCCTTCTGGAACAGGAAGGTTTTGACCTGGCGCCGAAATGTCATCAGCGTCGGCGCCAGACGAATCTCAGTCGGGAGGGCATTCCATAGTCTGGGGGCAGCTGCCGAAAAGGCCCTTTGTCTACAAACCGTCCCTCTTACCTCCTTAAGGGACGGCTCTTTCAAAAGGGCCCCCTGGCTAGATCTTAACTGCCGGGTAGGTTCATATGGAAGGAGGCGGTCCTTCAGGTATCCAGGGCCCAAGCCGTTTAGGGCTTTATATGTCAAAACAAGCACTTTGAATTGGGCCCGGGCAGCAACTGGTAGCCAATGTAACTTATACAGAATCGGCTTGATATGTTCCCTGGCGGCTGCACCACTCACCAGCCACGCAGCTCGATTCTGGACCAGTTGCAGCCGCCGGACCGTCTTCAAAGGCAGCCCCATGTAAAGCGCATTGCAGTAATCTATGCGGGATGTTACCAGTGCATGTGTGACTGTCATGAGACTCCACTAGTAGTTTTAGCTTTCAGAGGTAGTCCATAGAATAGCTAAAATTTAGTGTTTAGGATTAACTGCTACAATTTAATTCTGCAATTAAATATCTCATTATGAATTGGGATGCTGCTGTTGTTTGCATTTTACAAGTAGTATTTTTATACTAGTCTCTGTATACTAGGCTAGGCCTGCAAGCACAAAATTATGTCTTGTTTTTCAAAACTCTAACCACCTCTTTCAGAATACAAAAATTATCCAGAGTCTAGCCTAACTTTTCTTAGATCAAAGAAAAAGAGGATATATTGGAACTAATAAATATAATTTATTTGTTATGAATATAATAATCAAATTATTTTAAAAACTCTATAAAAATTAAAATCATACTAGAACAATAATAAAACAGCACAAAATACAATAAGGCAAAGCACCACCCATCTTCTTGGAAATATATCTTAATTTGGGGAGGAGGCTTCAATGTGTCAGAGAACAAGTGAGCAATGCAGATAGGGGATTCTATTACAAGTCTAGACTCTTAGCAGTGATTTACACAAATAAGAAACGTCAGAGGTAACTTTCCAAATTAAGGTGTATTAATTGAAGCTCACATCAAAGAAGAAAATTGATCATTCCAAAGATGATGGAGAACAAAAACACTTTGAACAGCAATTACTGGGCAGCAGCAATAATGGAAGGTGACACTGGGAGATGACCTTTCACAACAGCAACACTCAACCCAATTTAATACTGCATGGAAGAAGGCATCAGAAATCAATTTTTGAATATTTATATCTCAAAATCCCTATGATGAAACAAAATCAGAAAAAGACAAAAGACAGTGACACTTCCAGGACAAACTATATTCAATTACTAGAGAACAACAAACAAGAAATATGTTGTTATAAAGCAGTGGATTAAAGCTGAAAAGTTATGAGGTTCCTGATGTGCAGAAAAGTAAAAACAAGATCTGATGCTGCATTAAACATGCAACTGGAACACAGAATGTGAGAAATATGACTCAAAATAGGCTCAAAATCATTGAAAAATGAATAGAAATTTTAAATATTGCAAACTGTTCTATGACATTGTCAATCAGATGATTATAAAGTGTCATACTCTGGAAAGGACAAACTGAGAAGAAATGGTGCTGCTCTAATAGTGAGGAAAGACATATTGAAAGCAGTTCGAGACAGAAAATTATTATAATTGTGGGACGCAAACAAGAAAAAAGAAGCAATCTTTTCCATAAGGCACTGAATAAAAATTTAAACTAAGATTAGGGATGCTAAAAGATCAGGAGGCAAATGTATTATCTGTTCAGGATAAAATTCTAAAATGGCAATAATTTAAGGCAGAACTAATCAGAAGAGAGGCATGGATGATAGATTCCTTCAAAGAACACTTTGATGAACAACCTACAATTTTAGAAGGTGAAAGGAAAGCTACTCTCCAAGCAACTGGAAGAAATAAATCACCAGGAATAAACTGGATAGCCACAGATCTGTTTCAATGTATCAAAATACAAATAAGAATATGTCAATTAATATTTGGGGAGGTGGGAGATGGACAATGGTTCACAGACTGGAAACATTTAATATACATACCGATCTCAAAGAAAGGAATTGCCACAGTTTGCAGTATAAACAGGACCACTGTATTAATCTGCCATGCATGCAAAGTGATGCTTAAGCTTTCACCCCCAAATACTTTTAATACATATGGGGCGAGAAATGCATATATTAAATTTTAATTCAGAAAAGGAAAAGATATGAAAAAACATCTTGCAAATATACATTGGCTACTGGAGTGTACCAAAGAATTTCAGAAGAAAATCAGTCTATGCTTTATAGATTACAGGAAAGCCTCTGAGGGAGTGGATAATGAAAAGCTACCAATCGTTCTAAAAATCATTCAAATAAAGAAGCCATGGCCTTGTAGATAAAAATCAATTTTTTAAAAAAATCAAATCATAATTTAAATCTTTAAAAAATCAATTTTTAAATTAATTTGATTTAAATCAAATCCATCCTGGCCACAACAAGTGATTGTCTTCTTGCATAACTTATATTCTGGATAAGAAGCTACCGTTAGGTCAGAAGACAGGAAGAGAATGATTTCCCCTTGACAAATGTGTCATACAAGGACGGTAACTTTACTCTTCTTTTCATCTCTCTAGCAGTTCAATCTATATGCAGAATATAGCATCCAGAAAGCTGGATTAGATTCAGAAGAAGGTTTGAACATTTATGGAAAAAATATTAACAATTTAAAATATGCAAAGGACAACAGATTACTGAAAGGAAATAACAACTACAGTGGTGCCTTGTATAACGAGTGCCTCGTATAATGAGGAATCCACATAACGATGCCTTTTTTGCGATCGTTTTTGCGATCGCATACCGATGTTGCCTATGGGGAAAAATCGCTTTGCGATGTTTTCCCCATAGGCACCATTTGCCGGCTGAACAAGCAGGCGTTCGCTTGGGAGGAGGTGGGGGAATCTTCCCACCTCCTCCTGCCCGAGCCGCGGCGGCTACCCCAGCCATGGCCGGACTCTAGGGAGTCCAGCCATGGCTGAGGTAGCCGCCGTGGGTCAGATCCAAGCCGCGGGGGGAGGGAGAAAACCGGATAATCCGTTCCTATTAGAACAGATTATCCGGTTTTCAATGCATCTCTATGGGAAAACTCGTTTCACTTAATGATGTTTTCCCATAGCGATGTTTTTTTTTAGAACGAATTAACCTCGCTATGCGAGGCACCACTGTACTTGAAATGATTATCCAGGATAGTTAAAGAACATGCAAAAACAGAATTGCAGCTAAAGATTAAGATTACCAAAACCGTGTCCACATACAAATTATATAACTTTAATACTGACAATCAAGGCGTCAGGATGGTTGAAAACGTTTTAAACCTTGGTTCAGCCATCAATCTAAGTGGGGATTGCAGCCAAAAAGTCCAAAGACTAAGATCTAGAAAGGCAGTTAACAAAGAAGCAGAAAGGACCCTTAAGTACCGTATTTTTTGCTCCATAAGACGCACTTCCCCCCCAAAACCCCAAAAAAGTGTGGGGGGGAAGTGTGTGGGTCTTATGGAGAGAATACTGTAAAAAATAGTGCAATTCCCCAGAAACCATGCCGCCGTCATACGCGGCTGGGCTCTGTACTCATTGTAGCGCTGGTACTACAGGGCCGTAGCAGCACTGTAGGACCAGCACCACTTACTGGACAGTCGGATCATGTGACCAGCCAGAGACCGGGGGAAGCAGAGAGAGAGAGGAGAGGAGAGCACCACGGAGGAAGAACAAAAGCTTCTGAAACCAATTACCGGTAAGTTTAATAGTCCTGAGACTGGCAAGGGGAAGATAAAGTTACGACTGAGAGCCTGCTGGATGGGGGAAAGGCGGCTAGAATAGCTGTCTGTAGTTCAGAGCTTGGCAGGAAGCTGCATCGCTTCCCCATAAATTAAGCCTAAATACAAGTAATTTTGTAGATGTTTAAAACATTAAGGGACCTGGGGGGTGTCTTATGGTGCGTCTTATGGTCAGGTGCGTCTTATGGAGCAAAAAATACGGTATATGGATGCTAGTGGAATTCAAGGCCAAGATTATTCATATAATGGTATTCACAATATGTAAACACTGGACAATGAAGAAAGCTGACATGAAACAGATCATTTGAAATGTGGTGTTGAAGGACAGCTTTATGGATATTATGAACCAATGGAAAGACAGATACAGTATGTCAGTTCTAGAGCAAATCTAGTCTGAACTCTCACTAGAAGATAGAACAATTAAACAAAAGCTACTGCACTTTGAAGATAACATAAAAATAAAGATGTGCTGGTAAAGACAATAATGTGAGGAAAATGGGAGGACAAAATATGAGGTTGAGTTGCCCTAAATAAGGAAGCCATGGCCTTTAGTTTGCAAGAGCTGAGCAAGGCTATTAATGATAGAATCATCTGGAGGCCACTAACTCATAGGATCATTATAATTTGCAAGTGTCTTAAAGCACAAAAAACCCAATAATAAACTCCAATTGCAAGGTAAAAATAAGTACAACATATACTAACAGCAATAAAACAATGCAGAGATGAAGAAACACTGGAACAGTGACTAAAACTGCTAAGAAACAGAAAGGTCCTGTCAGAAAGAATTTATTTATTTTATTTAATTTATATGCCGCCCACACTACCCAGAGGTCTCTGGGCAAATATAGGCTCCAAATAAGGAAACCACTCTAAAAGGGAGACCTGGCCTGTTTGGAGAGGTATCTTGCTACTGCAAAATTGACTGGATTTATATGAGAGGCCATTGTCAAATATCCCTTTAAAAGAAAGAAAGCATTGCAGGGTGGATAAAAATCAATTTTAATTGATTTTTAATATGATTTTTTAAAATAAAATTGATTTAAATCATGATTTAAATGAAAAAGCAATAAAATATCTATTTTGATTTAAATCAAATCCACCAATTAGATTTAAATCAAATTCACCCTATTAAATTGTGTCTGATCGTAAGTGCATGTGTGAATCTTATCAGATATTTAAAATCCCAAATATTCCAGCTGAAATTAAAACACCTTCTATGTCCCCTCCATGACTTACCAACCCTAGACAAACTCCCGAATTACACCAATTTATCAGAAATCCCTCCCAAAGAAAAGGAAATGCTCCCAAACAAAATGGCTGTCCAACGAGGCCTTAGAAATAGCAGAGAGGAGAAGGGAAGCAAAATGCAAGGGAGATAGGGAAAGTTACAGAAACTTGAATGCAGACTTCCAAAGAATAGCAAGGAGAGACAAGAGGGCCTTCTTAAATGAACAATGCAAAGAAATAGAGGAAGATAACAGAAAAGGCAAGACCAGAGATCTGTTCAGGAAAATTGGAGATATTAGAGGAACATTTTGCGCAAAGATGAACATGATAAAAGACAAAAATGGGAGGGACCTAACAGAAGCAGAAGACGTCAAGAAGAGGTGGCAAGAATACACAGAGGAATTATATCAGAACAATTTGGATATCCCGGACAACCCAGACAATGTAGTTGCTGACCTTGAGCCAGACATCCTGGAAAGTGAAGTCAAGTGGGCCTTAGAAAGCATGGCTAACAACAAGGCCAGCGGAGGTGATGGCATTCCAGTTGAACTATTTAAAATCTTGAAAGATGATGCTGTTAAGGTGCTACATTCAATATGCCAGCAAGTTTGGAAAACCCAACAGTGGCCAGAGGATTGGAAAAGATCAGTCTACATCCCAATCCCAAAGAAAGGCAGTGCGAAAGAATGCTCCAACCACCGTACAATTGCACTCATTTCGCACGCTAGCAAGGTTATGCTCAAAATCCTCCAAGGTAGGCTTCAGCAGTATGTGGACCGAGAACTCCCAGAAGTACAAGCTGGATTCCGAAGAGGCAGAGGAACTCGAGACCAAATTGCTAACTTGCGCTGGATTATGGAGAAAGCCAGAGAGTTCCAGAAAAATATCTACTTCTGCTTCATTGACTATGCAAAAGCCTTTGACTGTGTGGACCACAACAAACTATGGCAAGGTCTTAAAGAAATGGGAGTGCCTGACCACTTTATCTGTCTCCTGAGAAACCTATATGTGGGACAGGAAGCAACAGTCAGAACTGGTCATGGAACAACTGAGTGGTTCAAAATTGGGAAAGGAGTACGGCAAGGCTGTATATTGTCCCCCAGCTTATTTAACTTATATGCAGAATACATCATGCGGAAGGCTGGACTGGAAGAAACCCAAGCCGGAATTAAGATTGCCGGAAGAAATATCAACAACCTCCGATATGCAGATGATACCACTCTGATGGCAGAAAGTGAGGAGGAATTAAAGAACCTTGTAATGAGAGTGAAAGAGGAGAGTGCAAAAAACGGTCTGAAACTCAACATCAAAAAAACTAAGATCATGGCCACTGGTCCCATCACCTCCTGGGAAATAGAAGGGGAAGATATGGAGGCAGTGTCAAATTTTATCTTCCTGGGCTCCATGATCACTGCAGATGGAGACAGCAGCCCTGAAATTAAAAGACGCCTTCTTCTTGGGAGGAAAGCGATGACAAATCTGGACAGCATCGTGAAAAGCAGAGAC